AAATTTTTATTGAACTCAAGTAGTTAGCAAAAATCCTCTTATCAATATAAGCTATTATATAGAATCAACTCTTATCATATGGATACTTTTTCATCTCAAAAAATTCTCTAAATAGAAGGATGGTGAGAACTAAACCTAGCTTTCTATAAAGAATAATAAAAGCTACTATGTACCAAAAAGAATATGAGCAAGCTGAGTATAGTTAGATTGTAAGATAAAAAAAGCTTAACAATAAAAAAAATGTAATGAAAACCTAAAACCAGCTGCTATAAACTCCCAATACACCTAAACTTTATTAGAGTCTAAAGGTGTGGTGATCTGATCATCGTAGGTCACATTATTATATTGTACCCTTTCATGAAAAAGTCAAATTTGACCTTTATCGCAAAAGCAAGATGAACCAAGTACGAGTTAGGGCAGTCCTCAAGATTAGTCTTGCCTTTTATGCTCTACATCACCATATTTGAGGTTATGCTTAAGGGACATGGGGTATAGTAAGGAGGGAGGTTTTCATCATCATCTTGGGTAACCTTTGCTTCCCTTTCACCTTTACCCCATTTCTTAGCATGGTCGAACCTTTTTGCTTACTTAGATCCTTAAACCTTTTCAACTCTAAAAGCCACATTACTTACCTATCCAGCTTTTGAAAAGGGAATAGGTTCTTGAATCTAAACAGGGGCAGGGACTTTTATTACGTCAAAAGAAGAAAAAGTTAGAAAGAAACCAGAAGACTCATCGAACTCAAAAGATGAGTTAGAGTTTGATTTTGAGTTCGGATTATTGGATCATTGAGAAAAAAAAAAAGGTAAAAAAGGTGAAAAGGACAAGGATTATTAAGGTGGCAGTAAAGAAAAAGGAAGAAAAGTTGTTGGAAGAGCCAAACTAACCACAATAATTGAAACCAGAGGGTTTTAGAGGTTGGAATAGATTACAATAAGGAGCTCATCCATCCCATGATAAACCTATTTTCCCTTTGCTTGAACATTGTCTTCGATTTGTTTTTGGTCCTCAACAGATATCGAATTTAACTAGTAAGTAACTCGGCTATAATCATTTCTTACAATGATAGAAGAGACCTGATCATTTTGAAAGAAAACTTCACGGCCAAGCTGATCTTCCCTTACTTTTACCTTAAAATTATTAGACATTTTAGAGTCAAAAGACATAATGAAAAAGAGAAGAAATATATCTAAAAGTTTAAAAGTAAGAAGGTGGATGAAAAAAAGCTAGAAGGATTAGAGGTCGATTAAACTAGAGGTCGATTAAACTTGGTTGGCTCGAGAGCTAGAGGTTTGTGATGTGAGATACTAAAGTGCCGAGGGCTCCTTATATAGCAAACTCAAAGATCAGATGGACATTCCAGATTGAGCCAAGTCATTGTCATAACGTATAGATTCGTAGATCCATCGCTAGCTATAGACTTAAGAAGTTGTCATAAATTTTTTTGTTTAGATGCGATTGACCACCCAGCTAAATCTGTCATATTTAAAGAAAAATCTCAAGTTTGACTTAGGTATATTTAAATAGTAGATTATAGTTCATAAAACCAGAGTTTAGATTCAAGAGTACGGTTACACGTGAGAAAAGTTATAGTATCCTCATAGCGCCCATCCAAAAGATGATACTAGTTTAATTTCAAGTTATCCAAGCCTTAAAACATATTTAAAATTTACCAAATAATTTTAATTATGAAAATTAATCCTAAATTTACTCCAATAGTTTAGTAGCAATTTAAGATGATTTTCTCACTTCAAAAGTATTCATAGAGACTAGTGTCCCACTCTAACGAAGCTCCGTCGTTGGATTCATTAATATATTTTATTCAAAAATATAATTAGTGAATTCCTCCAATAGTTTGGGAAGATTTACTTTGATGTAAATCTCTTAATAGTTTGGTGAGATTTCATTGTAAATTTATTTTTAGGAAATGCTTTAAATCTTCCAATATTTTGGTAAGATTTAATTTAAGATTCAAATCCTCCAATAGTTTGGTAGGATTAAAACAAAATATTTTATGTTTTAATAAAAAATTATTTATGAAATTCTTCAATAGTTTGGTCAAATTAATAAAAATTTAAATCCATAAGAAATCCTTTAATAATTTAGTAGGATTTATGAATTTATTTTAGAAACATTTTTTGTTTTTTTTAATGAATAAATAAATAAAATAAAATTCATAAAGGCTTTTAAAAAAATAAAATTTTCAATTTAAAATAATGAGTAAAATAATAATTAAAGATAATAATAATAATAATAATAATAATAATAAAATAAAAAAATCTGAAAATAAAATATGTAAGAAAATCAAAACAAAAAATAAAATGAAAAAGGAAAAGTAAATACTTATGATCGGGTCGAATCTGAAGTTGGATCAATGCGCGAGTTGTCATAAGTTCACGTGCGTCAACTTTTTTACCCAAAACAATGTTGCGTCGATGCTTTTATAAAAGTAAAAAATCTTCATTTTCCTCATAGTATCTTGATCCATTCTCTCTTTAGAATACTTTTTCTTTGTCTTTTCTCTAAGCTTCAAACAAAAAACCAAAAACTCCAGCCAATTTTCCAGATTCTGGCGTCGTGAAATTTGAACCGTCGTCGAAAATTTTAAGTTTTTTCTAGAAAACCTTATGAATCCAGAATCTGACTTCTGCAAAAAGCTTCCGACTACTGTTAAAAGCCACCGAAAAAATCAAATTCCACCGAAATATTCAAGTAAAACCTAGAACAAACCTAGGTTTTCGAAAAAATTTCTAGAAAAATATCAGCAAAATTCAATGATTCTAGAAAACTTTATAAATTTAAATAAACCCAAAATTCCTTAGGAAATACCCAAAATTTAAGATCAATTCAAAACTAAAAATAAAACCTTAGAGGACCAAAATTAGAAATCCAAAACCCATATTAAAAACCCCAAATCCACAATAATGGCTAGAACCAAATCCACATCCAAGAACAAATTCTAATCAGAAACTAATTTCAATAACACCAAGGATACGAAACCATAACTAGTACCCAGAATAAAAAACCCAAAATTTTTTCTTTTACACTTAAGTTGATTGCTTTCTAAAATTAAAAACCCAAAAAATTTAGATCCATAGAGTTTTCTTTCTTCCTTTCTATAATCCCAAAAAAACTTAGTTAAAAACCTAAACCTAGAAAACCCAAAATAAATCCAAAGCCTCTGATATTTTCTCTTTGTCTTATTTTTTGTGTGTGGTTGATTATGTTCTTATAATAATTTAATCCGTCTCAAATCTAGAAACTAAATCAAATGGATTATTAATTTGATTTTATGTGATTCTTGATTATTTGAATCAAATTTATGAATTTCCATTCACCTTTTTTTTCGTTTTGGTTTTTTTCCTTTTTATTCAATTTTTTACTCGAACTTTTGACCTTTTTTTAAACTTTTTTACTTTTAAAAAAAAGTAAAATTAAAAAAATTAAATCAAATTAAAATTTTTCTATTGGGCCCGAAGCTTCCCAATCAAGACTAATTTTATGATCAAGCCCGTTTTCGATCTTGAAAAGATTTTGAACAAAATGGAGTGTCTACATTCATCATAATAGTTACCAATGATGACTTTTCACATTCTCAGTCTTTTACACTTAACCGCCAATTTTTTTTTGTCATTAATAAATGCAAATTCAAATGAATTTGCACTAAAGGTATGTTGGTAATTCTAATGCCAAAATCACCGATCAAAGCAACATGGAACGATATCGATTATACATTCACGGCACATCAAATCTCTCACTACTCAATACAAAAAATGTCATAAGTCTCACATAGGCTATCAAGATAATGAGATGACTAGTGAATTGCAAATATCACATAATGCAATGTCAATCATATTAATCCATGTTTTGGTAACACCATTGCAAACTTGATTAGTGCTACCATCATTTACATCAACACTTGACACTTACCACCTTGGTAAAATGAGGTAGGAATAATTATCGATACAAAAATTTTTCAAACCCCACACTCAATTAACAATTCGATCTCATTAAAGACAAATTAGATCGGTCCAACCCATGAATACCAATTTGACACCTTATACTGTTAGATGAGGGGATAAAATGTTAGGAGTTTTTTTATATCCAAAGGACAAAATGGATTTTTTTGCCCATTAGTATAAGTCAACAGACAGTCAATGATATTTTAAACTTTTCAGTCAAGCTAACATGTTAAATTGACATGAATTCACAGGTTCACGTTAACTCAACAACCTCATCAAGTCTACGTGGGGGATCCCTAATGTGTTGATTTGGCAAATCTGAGTGGAGAGTCAACTGTCAAGTTAGTTCAAGCCTACCAAGTCATCCCTAGCCTTTAAGACTGACCTTGGGCAGCCTAGATTGCCTGTGACCTCCACCTTGTACATATAAATAGTACCTTTCAGCCATATTGTTTTTTTCATATTTATTGCTTTCTCCTTTCTATTCTTTTTCTAAATCGACTACTGACTTAAGTATTGGAGCACAAATATTAAGCCATCCCCAGTCTTTTATTGTTAACCATTCTTTTTCAGGGTTGTCCCTCACAAACAGCTCGGCACCAACAAATAATATTAGCATAAAAGGTCGGGAGGTTTAAGAGTATACAAAAAAGCAGGTAATGAAAACCTGACGTCGGCGTTAGAAACGGGTTAAGGCCCTGCCTTTGCGGGGCGTTGGTATATTTATTTCCTTCCTTCCCGAGAGAAATGCATGCATAATCAAACCTGTTTCTGCTGCAGCTGCATAATCAATGGTTCCAAAATGAGGTTTGAGATAAGAGTAGTTGGAATAGCAGTTACATTTTGGTTATTTGCTATTGTTTCGCTAATAAGAGACCGGACTAAGAACATCTCCTCCTACAGCCCTTGAAAGAAATACCCATGAAAATAAATCATTGGTTCATGTCCTCTCCCTTCAATACAAACCCCAAATTTATGTAATTATTTTGAACTTAACTCATTTAATTCATATAATCATTTTTAAAAAATAATATCCAATTAATATAAAATTCAAATTCCAACACATATAGCTCATTTACTTATCCCTAAGCTTTAACATCCTGTGTAAAAAAAATACCCATGAAAAAAATCATTGGCTTCATATTAGCCATTACAATACAAGAATGCACCGCTCTTTCACAATTTCTATCTATACTGTTTACACTTTGACAGGGAATAGCTCTTCAACAATGAAATCTACCATATGACATCAACTTACAGATACTCGATTCGTACAATGCCTAATAGTATACCAAAAAATATGCTTAACGCCTTAGCCACTTAAGTTTTCATTTCAAGCTGCTTGTTTCCCTTTTAATTATCCTTGTCCTGTACAATTGAATTCTGAATCATCATCTTCTGTACGGTTCCTGAAGACATTCTTTCATGAATTCATTCCAAGCTAGCAACGCCGCTCCAACTGCAGGCTCTACCTGAAAAGCATACAAGAAAACAGCCCAAAAGTAAGTTGTGATACATATAAAACAAAATTCGCCTAGTGTCGGCAACCACACAGAGTTGGCTGTTAGGCCAGGAGGACCTCCATGCTACTCATCCCTTGCACTAAAGAACTACCATCTGCCAGTCAGCCACTTATAATATTGAGGGACATTCTTATAAAGACATTAGACCATAGGATATGCTTGAAGGACTAATTTGAATAGAGCAATGACTCAACGGGTGGTTAAATGCCTTGGGAGATATTTTATTGGCAGCTGCAGGCCAGCCAGCTTAAATCAGCCCCATCCCAAAACCATGCCAAGGCATAACAAATAAGACTGTACTTGCCATGACAATTAGATATCAGACAAAAAGTAGTAGTCTGATGGTGTAGGCGCAGCCAACAGACCCACTTAAGCAGGAGGACTTTGAAATTCATTATCTCATCTTGTAAGTTTTTGATGTTCTGATATTAACCCTGGAATTTATTCCTAAACAGCAGTTGTGGCATTTTGCATCTCCTTTTGATTTCTACTCTGCTAATGTTTGTTGCAAGAACATGTGATAATTTTTGTCAGTAAAGTGGCCAAAAAGAAGATGACTGCACTTCAAACATAAAAACGTGGATGATGCTTGTACTGGCCATTTGCACTAGAATAGACTAAACTATTCTTACCTTAGGCCTAATAGGAAGGGCCCCTGGGTAGTCCTTCGAGATAAATTCCATGACTTCTCTTCCTATGTCCCACCTCTGCTTCGCTTCAAGAACACCGCCAACCATAACAAGAGGAAAGGAGTTTTTTCCATCTGCAAGGATTGATGCATAGAAATGGAAATTTAGCTGGAACATTCTAATCAACCTGTGGCATAGCTATCAAGGTAGAGACTTCCAAGTTACCCATTATTGCTTCAAAATTACATAATCTGCTGCTTTTGCAAGAACACAATAGCTACTGATTATCATACTAGTAACTAGTAACCATAAGAATGGACCACATATTTGTAGAATGCTTATTCAAACAATCAAATCAATTTATGGCAGAGATATAAAGGGAGTAAAAAAAAATTTTAGAAAATTACTTGTTAGGACTTGGGATCACAGCAAAATATATTAAGATTCAACTGCTATATGAATGGCTCATGGAATTTTAAGAAAATGCTTAGCGTAAAAAAGAGCATCCAAAAGATTGTGACCAAACAACAAGGCAAACGGTCATTACAAGGTTATAATCCAAATAAAGCAGATATTAACAAATACAGCCTCTCAAGACTCCAACTGGCACTCCAGCACTTGTAAGCACAAGATATGCACTGGACAATGGCCCTTATAATAAACTAAACAATAATCTTTTAAAGACCAGTCATTTTTTATGAGGGGATAGAATAGACCCTTCATTATTTTTCATAATTAACTCTGCATGATATCTCGTCCAGGCATACAAAGTCAAATCTAATTTTGTTGTCTGAAAGGTATAGCAAATAATCCTATGTTCTCCACATATTCAGATTTTCTACAAGAATGAAATATCTTTGTGCTAAATTTAGCCAATACTGCACTATCTGACACTACAAAGAGTTTTTTGCTTCTAAATATAGGAATAATTAAACCAAAAAAAAAAAAAGAAACTCTCCTCTAATTCAAATTTTGCTTGATACACCCTACCTTCACCACACAAGCCAAGTCTCTGAACAACAGCTTTCACACTTAAAGCCAACTCTTGAACTGCCTCTTTCAAGATCTTATTCGCAACTTCATCACCAGCCTCTGCACAAGAGACAACAACTGGAACAAGTGCTGCAATGCGAGCCCAGGATGGATCTGCATAGGTCCACCTAAATCAATAAGAGAGAAAACAAATGAAATTCAACATTTTATCAATAACGAAACCATGAAGCTCTAATTATATTAATCTATCCCGCAAACTTTGGTTGATGTTACAAACTTCGTGACACTACCTAACCATTGCTCCTAAGTTTCAGAAATTGTTAGAGGAGAAAATAAATTTCCTACATGATAATATAGTTGAGAGAGGATAAAAACAAAGGTCCTTACATAAAAATTAATTTGGATAAACTACATTTATCATCCGTGACCTTTTAAAATTAGTTCCATCTCATCCATGACCTTTTTTTAAGTGAAATGTGGTACCTCAGTGCCTTCTATAATCATGTTAATATCATCCTTCTACCATTAGCCATTAGAAAGTTGACCAAAAACAGCCCCATAAGCAACAATTGGCATGCCAGGGGGCAAGGGAGGAAAGAAAAAATAAGGTAAGTTACACTCGTAATCCATGACTTTTTTTTGCAGTTTCATTTCATCCATTAGTTTCCAATTGCAACATAAAAATCTGTAACTTATGAGTGGTTCAATGTCATCCATCCAACTGACTGCATTAGAAATTGTATGGAAGTTGCTACAGAAGAAACACTTAAGATTGCACTGGTGGCAAGTCACCTAAAAAACAATGGTTAAAAGAAAAAGGTAAATCCAGATTATTAACATGCTTTAAATAAAGTCAATAACTAGTCTATCATGAAAAAAAAATATGAGTTTATAAGCTCTGGAAAGAATTTTTGAGATTCAGATAAAAGCTATATGAGCTTAGAGAAAGAAAATGAGAAAATTAATTTGGTGAAATAAGACAATAGAAAAAAAAAAGGAAAATCAAGCGTTTGTGGTGCCAGTAGCAAGGCGAGTTGGGCAATATATGTTTTAAGGTAAGGAAAAGGGGAGAGGGGTTTGCAATTTGGGTTTCTGATACTGCAAAGAAAGATACAGACATGCCAGAAAGATGCAAGAAATGAGAATAAAGAGCAAATGAAAAAAAAAAAAAAAAAAGATTAATAATGTGGTTGCTTCATCAATGCTTATTTAGACATTTACATGACAACTTCTGACCATTTTTTAATGGCAATACAACAAATTAATCACAATGAACCATTTTTAAAAGGTCATGATTAAAGTAAAAAGTTGTAGATAAAAATCAAATTCTATAGAAAGATCACAGATGATAAGTGCTATTTACCTTACTTTTTCTTGCCCACATTTGTTACACAGCATGACTCACCTTGCTTACAAGGTCTTTTTGTTGATTTCTTAATGCTTGACTATTGAAAGGTTGATATTGACAGACATATGAAAGGTCATGAAGTATAATGTTAAAATTGAAAGGTAATGGATGAAATATAAACCCACCTTAAAAGGACAAAACTGAATAGTGCAATGAATATGATTTCCTAGTGGACTAATATTTTGATATATTCATATCGTTTAATTGACATCACAAATTGCAAAGAAATTCTAGGAGGCAATTATTAGCCATCTATTAAAGAATTAATCCATACATAAAAAAGGACCACACATATGAAAATATTGTCAAATGAGTAACCATTATGAAAAGGGAAGTGGAAACTGTCACATACATTAACACTTTTCAGCCATATTTGATTGATCAATTATTTAATTTGTCTTTCTGAAAGGAGTAGCAATAAAGAGATCTCAACACAACAATTAGATAAATACCCAATTAGTTCATCTGCAGAAGAAAGACCAAGGGTCTGCAAAATGGTAGATTGAAGCATCGTTTGTGGACCACGACCGTCATGAGCCCTAATTACAGCAGTTAGTGCCTGTGCAGCTATTCCATATCCACTGCACTTAAATAAATAAGCACGTCAACGAAAGCTACACTTATAATCATACCAGCAGGTAAAGAAAAAAAAAAAAATAGTAACATATCATCCATCAATAAGATAATAAGTAGGAACAGTAAAAGTTCATGTAATTAACAAAGCAAATCGTCCTAGAAGCTATTAGGATTATAGAAGTTACTAAAAGAAAGAAGACTGAAAGAGGCTTTGTTAAACAAGTGTCAAATCAAACTTTCCCGAGTTAAGTTGTATTAAGCGAGCAATTTTGCTTTTTCATATCTTGCTGCACTTATTTGCACCATTCTACAGCACTTGATTAATCCATCTTCTTTTTTCCATTTCTACACTTGTTCCAAGATTATTTACATTTCAAAGAACTGATACTCGCACAGGGCTATGGTAGACTTTAAAGGAGATACTAACATCCCTATCAAATCGTTGAACTCTACTATAGATGGGCAAAGAAAAAAGAGTTTGCACCATATCCTGGACAACTGCTACAAATACAGCTTTATAACACTAGTAGTTGCAACATTTGTGAAAATGAGGCCATTCAATCAAGCTCTTCTTTCCAATCAAGAGGCTTCTATTTAAGGAGAATTTTCCAAGATCTGAGTTTAGTATTTTTTTTTCCAGAGGAGCAGAACAGCAGAATCTATATTAAAACTCAAAAATGATTGGACTACAATTATCAAGTCTAGAATATGGACCAGTTGGTTGTCAAAAACCCTAGCAAAAATCACTTTGAAAATTGGGATATAAGAGTCAAGAAGGTACAGAGTATTGTATAGGGAATTGTTTTTGGTGTTTGATGTAGCGTGGGCTATGATAAGCCAAGTTTGTTTTTGGTTGGTATCATTTGGTTATTTTAACAAAATTGATTCACTTATAGGAAAAGAGGGGGGGGGGGGGGGGGAAGGAGGGGGAACGCTCTTCAAATTTTTGTAAGAAATGAAAGTGCAGAATCGTTTTTGTAGAATAGAATTTTCTTTTGCTAAAAAGTTTAGAATTGTAAAGTTGATTTCAATAAAGTTAATGTGTCAATGTCAATTCAAATCCAAATCTTAAGCCATCTAATGATATAAATAATGAACTTGAACTTGTTTGAAATTTTGTATTCAAATCCTAACTATATCCAAACAAAAAATTTCAGACTCAAAATTTTCAGCTCCAAATTTGAGTCCCCATTCCCCAAAAAGACCTTAACCCTTAAGCATTGTGTCAACTAAACATCATCAAAATAAAAAAGTAACAGTCCGATAGGTAAAAACTCAAAATGTCTGGAAATGAATATTAGAGTAAAAATAAACAACAAATAAGGAGGCTAAAAATAAAAACAAAGTCACAATCATCTACCTTCCCCAATCTCCTAGGACAGGTCCTGCGCCAGCTGCTCGAGCTTCTCTGCCGTCTTCTGTGAATCCATATGCAATGGTTCCTGTACCAGCAATTAGTACACAACCATGGAGCTTACCCATTGTCCCACTAGCCAAAGCTGCCACAGCATCATTTCGTACATAGAGCTTTACATGGCTGGGAAATATGTCTCTATACAAATCATCAAAAGGCAGGTTCATAAATGACTATTTTTTACATATTTATATATAGAACAAACTTCAGGTAAAGAGAGAAGCAAAAAGGTTAAACGAATTATCATAACAAAATTTGAATATTTCAGCAGAAAATTGATAGAGTCGATGCATCTGCCCAAACCTTCAGATGCCTCTAAAGAATTCATAACTCAATAAGCATGGGTCATTTTCATTTTTCCTTTTCCACAAAACATGTCAGATATTGCAAATGAAAGGTGAATTACATGGATTTTCCTAAACTTGTATTAATTCTTAAAAGACATCAGAATCTCCATTTCATTTAAAATGAACACAGTTTCTCCCAGAATCTAGACAATGCTAGTTTATACGTTCCAAGTTAGGGATAACAGCGTTCACATTAATTCTAGCAGCTTTGCAATTATGTTGAGCTTCAAATTAGATGCCAGTCTCAAACTACAAGATGCATAAATAGAAAGCAAACCTAAGCCAGGTTAATATTCTTTGCTGGTCTGTAGGATGGTTAACACCAGATACTGCTAAACAAACAGCTCGAACTGCAGATCGATTAGAACCAGACTTTGAAAGCGCATCTGCCATAACTTGCTCCAATGTTTCTTTGGCAACAGTTTCTGTAAAATACAGAAAATTGATAACCACAACATTGACATGAACTACCGGTATTTACTATTTTATGGCCCAAAAAGAAAAATAACGGAAGAAACAACCAAAACCAGACTGTGAATCCAACATATTATGGACAATACTTGTAATTGCAATCAAAGATTAGCTTGCCAATTCAGGCTGCATCTAGTCTAATTGCTTTTGTTATTTGCTTTTTGCTTCTTCTGTTCTTTAGAAGTTGCTAAAAAAGGCAAAAGCAAATAGTAAACAGAAAATCACACTTCATTGAGAATGAAAAATGTTAAACATATTCAAACATAATTGTTTCACATAAAAGCAAAATCATGCATTGTGTTTTTCCCAAAATTTGAACTTTAATGTTTTAATAATTAAAAAATGCTACTATTTGCTTTTAAACCTATGAACACTTCTAAACTAATGAATTTGAACCCTCAAAATTGCTAATTATGTATAAATTTCGGAGACAAAAACAAATGAAAAATAAAACCCTACGCTTTAAGAGAGAGAGAGAGAGAGAAAGAGAGAAAATTACCGCCAACGCTGTTGTGATTCGAGCAGCCGGCGACGGCACGGGCGAGAAGGGGAAGTGGGTCAGGAAGAGCGTCGGAGAAAGGCATAATTGAAATACAAACGCAAACAGTGGAAGTGGTTCCACCGTCCAATCCTAAAATCACCTGCCTGTTCGTCGGCACCGCCACCTCGTGCTCGAAGTCCCAGATCTCGCCATTCCTGTATCTCTTCATTGCAGAAAAATCTGTTGATGATTCAAACTTGTAAAAATTCAAAGAGAGGGAGTCAGACAGTAGTGAATGAGCCAAAATGTAGAGCGAATTTTCCTTTTTTTTTTTTTTTAATTAACAAATGCGGGAAAGGGTTGGCGAAGACTTTAAAAAATACTCTGACAATTCGGACGGCTAATCCGCCAAATGCTAATAGCTTGACGATTCCGTCATTCAATGACTTTGAATTCAATTCCACGCCCACGTTGGCTCCATCTGTCGCTCTTAGAAATTTGATGATTTTTGACTCTAACAAAAATGGAGGCTTCGAATCAAAATACAAAACATATAAAAGATGGAGGCTTCGATCGCCCAGCCGATTGGATGGGTTACGTTGTGAGGGAGGGCCAAGGGCAGCCAGGACCTGAATTTTTTAACAATTTCACAATGATGCAAAATTTCACCATAAATGCTAAGGACTCCTTAGTTTTCGCATTATTAATTAAAATTTTTGTAAAAGATAAGATTGAGATATTTCACTACTCCCTATCTCTGTCTTCTTTAATTCATTTATATTTATTTTGATGATAGTAATTAAAATTTTCGTAATTCCCATCTCTCTCCTCTTTAATTCATTTATTTTTATTTTTAAAATGTTTGATACGTTATCATCACTTAAAAATTTTGATATGGTATTATCAACCGAAAAATTATGATGATTTATGTATAAGGATTAAATTACCATATTTGATAATCATATAATGATTTAATATAACAATAATTTTGAATAATAAAAAATTATTTAATCATTATTTTGGAACATTATTTAATTTATATCCAAAAAGGTATGAAAATTTTTATTGCAGTAAAAAAAATATAAAATTAATAATAGTTAATATTATTTATTTAATACATGAATTAAAAATTTATTTTTTTAAAATTAATTATAATTATTTTATATTTTTAAATTAATATTTATTGTGACAAGTTTAAAAATAATTTATGTGATTTCTTTTAATTTTTTAATTTATGTAGATGTGTCAAATAAATTAGGTGGCTAATGACATAACATGGTTCGATAGCCATAAAATAATCGGATTGAGTCAAGCAAAATACATACATATATATATATGCCATGTTGAGTTAGAAGTTTTAAAAATCTCATGGTTTGACACGGCTCGACCCGTTAAAAGTTAGTTTCAGCACGTGATATATGGATTAATACTAAATGATATACAAGTCTAAATGTGCCATACCATATTGGTACGTAATTGTTATAAATTGACTTTCGGGATTTGATTGTAGTTTTGTTATTTTTTGTATTATAATGAAATTATATTTATTTTTTGATAATTTATAAAATAAAATTATATTAAATAAATTTATTTATTAAATATTTAAATTATTAATAAATAAATTATCTCTAATTAGTTTGCAAATCATTCTATACATGAATTATTTTTATTCATTTAAATTTGCATTTATAAAAATAAATTAGTATTCTTTTCAAAGTTATATGATCAAAATATTCAAACTTGTAACATATATACATATATATATATATATATATATATATAAGTTTTAGTTGTAAAGTAAAAAGAGGGATTGGTCACTTAAAAAGGCATAAGAAAAAACATAAGGATGCATCTATCACTTTTAATAATCCCACACATACTATACTTAGTCAACATCTTAATGGGTCTTTAGGTGCATTTCATTTTCACAAGATAATTGGTGTAACCAATTAGTTAAATTTATAATATGATTGAGCAACCATTTGTTTTTGCAGATGATGAACATTTTAATAATTTAATTAAAAATGATATACTACTTAATTATAAAATAGTTTCAAGAAGTATCGTTAGATCATATGCTTTTACAATATTTTTTCTTATAAAGAAAATTTAATATCTAGTTTATAAAAAATTTCTTTTAGAATTTCACTTATTTCTGATATGAATTAATCGACAAAACTTTAATTATATGTGTATTATTGGGCAATTGTTAGATGATGTATGTATGTTTTTTTTTTTTAAATATTAGGATTGTAATTTCAATATCTTTATTTGGTGAATTATATTATTCATCTCTGTGGATGTAGACATTTAACTAAATCAAGTAAATTATATGTTCTTTTTATTTCATTATGTGTTTATTATTTATCACATATTAATTTAAAAATAATAGATGAATTTTTTTAAATAATTAAAATTTTGAAAAAGTATTAATAGACTTTTCTTGACCTAGCTTGGCACAAAAAATAGTGTTGTGCCCAGCATGGTATGACCCATGAAAATTACTGGCTATGTGCCATGTTGGGCCATACTTTAACTTTCATGAACAGTGTTAGCATGACACATTAAAAAATAATGTTAGGTTGGCAGATCTATTAACATATGAACTAATATTTAAGTGAGTTATGTCAGACCAACATAACTCATTTGACACTTCTAAATTTATATAATATAATATTTGATTTTAATATATTAGTTTTATTTTCTAATTCAAATATTTTTTTACATAATTTATACTATAAAAATTAATTTACTTATGAATAAATATATTTTTATTTAATAATTTAATAATATTTTATTATGAAGCAAATAAAATATTACTAATATTTGATAAATTTTTATCTTTAAATAACATTAAAATCATTAATTCATATAACTATTATAATGTGCATAGTTATTTTGGTACATTCAAACAAAATAATATTTAATTTTAATAACATGATAATCTTCAATTACTAAAAATTAATGATTTTTAATCAAACAATGTGATTAAATATCACAAGCAATATAATCACTTTAATAATAAGATTACCTCAGTTATTAAATTATCATAATGATTTTGAAAATAATATCAAAAGTTACGTTTAAGTTTATTTATTTATTAATTTTTATTAATATATGATTTTAAATTATACAATAAAAATAATTTTTATTATTTTATAAATCTCATCTTTTTTTTTGAAAAAAAAAGTCAAATTGGAATTAAAATTGTAAACAAACCGAACATTAACAAATGTTACTCATCTATATTCAAGAGTTAGTTGGCAAAAGCATTTAAATATTATAAACTATTTCTAACTTACAACCTCTAAATGCCAATTTCAAAGACGTACCAACTAATTCAAAAGTCAGTTGATAATATAGACACTTAATTTTGTTTGGTGTCCTTTGAAATTATTTTGATTCTTAATAATCTTGAATTTGTGGTGGGTTTTGAGCTAGTCCATTTCCTCATGGGTTTATTTGTGTCTCAGGCTTTTTGAATCAAAAGCCCAATTCTCTTTTTTTGAGTAAATTTTAATTTATCTTATTATTATTTGATTTTGAAAAATGAATCCGATAAACAAATCAAAAAATTTTGAGATAAATCTTAAATGAAAATGAGTTTGAATTGAAATATGATTGAAATGAAACCCTTATTAGATGAAGTTTTTAAAAGCAATCTAAAACCCTATCTCACTTAAGACCTTTTATATAAACAAACTCAATCAAACAAAAAGGGGAAACAATTACAAAAGATAACAATTGAGCAAGATCCAACATCCAGTGGCTAATTCCTAGCTAACTAGCATCTTCGAACCACCACAAGTTCACTTTTGTTTCTATTGCCAACCTTTTACTTGAGCTTTACTAAGCAGTATCTAATATTAGATTTCTTCACCAATTAAAGACTGGCAGTTTCCACCATTACCAGTCAACACAAAAAAGGCAATTATCAATGATCTCGAGCCTACTAGCCAACAATAGCCATAGCCATCACCATCGCCCATTAACATCCAATAACATAGAATTCACCCTAAATTGACCTAAATTTCCCACTGTTATACCCCTTCCCATAACTAACGCCCTTTTTCTTACGACCTTTCCAAGCTTGAGCTAGCTCTACCATTTGCACACAAAAGGCTACTACGACACAACCACTTGAGCCCTAACCATCCATAATATCACAACCGCTAAAACTTAGTCAAATCTATGCCTTTGCCATAATTGATGAAAGCAGTAAACAATAGATGAAGAAAATACAATCGCCAAAAATATAATCACCTAACAACCCATCAACCATTAACAACTTATACCTAGCAATTTCACCAACATAGGCAACCAAAATCAGATAACAATCCAAAAAAGAGATATAAGCACAATTAAAGACCTAGCTTCAATCACAATCCACAATTAGATATCAAAACAAAAGAAAATAAAAAAAAAAACCATTCACCACCATTCATTATCATTATTGAGACCAGAGCCATCCCCAAGCTTCAAAATCAATCATTGTTAACACCAACAGTCCAAAGTCACCAACCTGAAATCTACACAACAACAAAGGAAAAAAAAAAAGCTTAACACAAGAAAATATAAAAATGAGAGGATTTTTTCCCTTAGGTTTTGGGTCTAAGGTGTTTTAAAAAGATTTAAATCTTCAAGTTTGGCAAAGAGGGTGATTTGAAAAAGAGGAGAAACATACCCAAACTTGAAGGCCATTGGAACAGTGAGGGATGTTTTAAGGTTTGATCACCGAGACTTTAGGCTAAGATGTATAAAAAATCTAGCAAGTTCTTGGAGAAACCATATAGAACATATGAAAGAAGAGACTAATTGACTTATTTTAGAATTTTTGAAGTTTTTCGATTGTTGATGGATGGTTGACGTTGATGGCATATGGTGACCACATGACAATTGCCAAGTTCTGGGAATTTTAAAAAACATAATGCCAGATGTTCTTGAGTTATTGGTTTTCTAGGTTAATTTTGTAAAAAGAGAATAAAAAGAGAGGAAAAGAAAAAAAAAGAAAAAAATGAGGTAAAACAAAAATTTTTGTTTTAAATAAACTAAGTAAAATGCACCGTTTCATTAAACAAAGAAGATCTGCGTGTTTTGCTAACCCGACTCGAAATCCGTGAAGATAACCCGAAAACTTAAAAATTGGTTTCAGTTGAGCTATAGAAGCCAAGCCTCCAAGCCATCTTTTGACTATAGAGTCTAACCGAGCAGTCCCTTTGAGTCGATTTGAGCCAAGAAAAGATGAATTTTTTTGTATTGTTTTGATATTTTATTTATTTATTTATTTGTTTGTTTGTTTCATTTAAGGTTTTTAAATAAAATAGTATAATTAATTTTTTAAAATTCTATCAAACTATTGAAAAATTTAAATATCAAATTGAATCTTATAAAATTATTGGAAGGTTTAATAAATTTTTTAAATGAATTAAAAAATATTTTTTCGAAACCAATCCTACCAAACTATTAAAGGCTTTAAATATCAAATTAAATCTTATCAAACTATTTGAAGACTTAATGATTTTTTTCAATCATAACAAATTATTGGAAAATTTAAATCTCAGAGTTAAATCTTACTAAATTATTAAAAGATTTAATGATTTTTTAAAATAAATTCATAAATAAATTTTTGAATAAAAATTTTACCAAACTATTGGAGGTAATGTCTTAAAATAAATGTTATCAAATTATTAGAAGATTTTATTGATTTTAAAGATAATTAATATCTTGAAAACACATTAATGAATCCAATAACAAAGCCTCTTTAGAGTTGGATATTAGTCTC